TTGAGTGTGCGGCCTCACACCTCCCCAACCGCACACTCTACATATATATATAACACCCTTGGATCATTCTTGAACACTACCTTCACTTCTTCAAACATAGAAGACGAAAATCCTCTCAAGTATCATCCATTCTCCTTGAAGATCTTCATAAAAGGTACCAAGAACACCAAGATCTTCATCTGGCAGCACACACACCACCTGGCAGCACACCTAGCCGCACACAGGGCCGCACACATGTGTTGGCTGCACACAGGGCCGCACACATGTGCTGGCAGCACACTAGGCCGCACACTTGGCCGCACACACACATATAGTGTGTATTTTGGCCATACACCCTCTTGTATAGACTTATAAACCCTTATACAACCATATGTGATTAAAACACTTCATTATAAGTGTTTAATAGTCCTTAAGGTGGTCCCAAAATCATCAATTAGATGTTCAAAACACTAATTAAATCCATATATGTGCCTACATATGCTTAATAGGATTCGCGCGTGTTCTCAAGTCACCACTTGACACCTAGCGTTTAATCCAACATTGTCATTAGAACCACTCACTACAGGTGAGTTCATACCCCTTAAATTAACCTTTGAAATACTTTTAAATGTTTTAAATACTTTTATGGGAGGGATACAAGTTGAATACCTATAGTTATTATATCAATCACATGTGATTAATAACTACCAAACCAATGATTTTATCACTGTTCAAATTGTTTATCAAACTGCATTACATCAAAATGTTTTACAAACTCTTTTACTTATCAAATACTTTTATTTAAACCTTAGTATACTTCTTATAAGTTACATGTCCATGTATGCATAGATATATAAGAAATGTTTAAAAGGCTTAGGAAGGCCATCCGCCCTATTTCCTTTTCCTCGATTTGGATGTGGTCTGGTGGGATGTCGGGTAGCCGTCTGAGGGTCATTTCAATATTAATTATATATCATATGTGCATATTTTGACATAAAAGTACTTCCATATTCATGCGTAGCAGTTACATCATTAGTAAGTTACCATCGGGGTAACGCAGGATTACTCTTACACTATTGCTAGATTAATGAGTCAGTTCATTCATGAGTCAATAGTTATTACTATGAGAACATATACATTACATTACTATGAGTACATATACAACTATACTAGAAAGAGAACATATACGACTATACTAAGGAAGAGAACATATACAACGATACTAGAACAAGAACAATACATATACATATACCTACATATACTTTCATAAATGTGATCCACTGTATCGGTGCATGCCTTAATTGTCATGGACCGAGTTGTAACCAGAATCTCTTGGAGGGAAAGCGTGAGTTTGCGTATAGATCTATACTGGATTGACTATCCTACACCTTGCTGCTAGCTAAAGCCAGACCTGCAGGTCTGCGGGTGCCAAACGTCATACCTTTTTTACGACCTACATTTGTTGTTGATACTCAGTCGATAGTATGGTACAATTAAATCACATGATACCTTAATATAAATCCGGTTTAAGGTAGTTAGTACAGCAGTAGTTCCCATAACACAACACTATAGTACTACATTAATTTACCCATTATATACATTTAGTGATTATTCCACTTAAATATTCATGTATAAGCTATATTCTGTTAATGATAGTTACACTTGGGAAATTACACACTTTTACAATAAACGAGCGTACAAAACAGTGAAGCCTTGGTAAAAGGCTACTTTAATAGAAAATATAGGTTTTTCTGAGAGATTCAGACTTTTACAAACACTTACAAACATTTACATGCATTTTACAAACTTACACTTGAGACATATTCAAACGTTTTGATAACAAACACCAACACTAAAATACTTATGAACTTACCAGCTGAATGCTGATAAACTCTTTCAAAACAACTTGTATTCTCAGGTCATCAGTAGACAGGTACCGAGGTCAACTTTTGAGAAGATGGAGCGCATCCAAGACTCATCTTATTATTTTTGATTTACATTATTTTTGGTGTCAATAACTGTACAGAACATGCCTGTATTAAAATTATATATTTAATGCAATGGATGATGTTGTTTGCTTATTTACATTCACTGTGTTGTGATACTTTACATGACGTCCTCCGCCCCAGAACATTTCCGCCGTTCTCAGTTTTGGGGTGTGACATCTTCCATGTTGGACATTTTTGATGTTTACTCGATGTAGTTCTAGGTATAGAGATGAATACAGGGGCTACAAGAGGAGAAGTCGCAACAGAAGCAAGGACAAATATTATGGAAGGGATAGAGAAAGTAGGACCCGCAGTAGGAGTAGGAACCTTGATTATCATAAAAGACATAGGTGGGGGAGGTATGATGGTGAGAGAAGCCTAAGTAGGTCTCCTGTAAGGTAAAAAGACATAAATGCCCTTATCATTGAAAATAGCCCTAGAAAGTTTTTTTTTTTTTAGTTTTTGTTTAAAGTTGATCTTTTGTTTTAAATACATGAAAGTGAGAACCATAATTATTTATCGATCATAAAAGCTTTAAACCATTTGAACGAATAGAATGTTGTAGCTTTGAACCACTTGAGCGCCACAATTCACTTATAATCTGTCATTACAACATATCGCTTAATCCATAGATATTGGCTCTAAAAGATGTACAAATATCCCTTTACTTTCGCCCTAGTCCCAAAAATGCAACATTTTTTCTCTTAGTTCAGTTTAAATTTACATCTTAACTCATGTGCAATCTTGAGAAGATATCTATTACATTTATTTTGTCCCACAAAGTCTCTTATTCAACCGTGTATACACCTTGTAATAATGTGGCTTAATATCTGATAGTCAACTCCTATTTGTTTCTTCAATGATATTATTTTCCAAGATATGTGGATGTTCTGTGTCTAGTTATGTTATTTTGTTTCACACTCATGATAACCTTGTTCATGAAGCTACTAACAGCAGGGGTGTTTCTGTGACATGCGAATATTTCTCATCTTACTTCTCTGCTGTCTTATTTGCTAGTATGTCTGTTCTTATACATAATTTTTTTTTGCAGGTTATAAGCCCCGATCTTACATTCTATAATTCATCAAAATATGTAGGAGAGTCTTCTCTTCACAAATAAGTTTTTGCATGCAAGATTAAATGCCTTTTGCAGGTCTCTCTTTCTTGCCTTCATGAATTTTGTTGATTAAATTTCACGGGTGCCTTAAATTTTTATTTGGTCCTTTTCATACTAAATCTAGTGTTGCATGTTACTGGATGATTAGGGTATTGGAAAAATGCTTATAAATTTGTTCCTTTCTCTGGCATATAGGTACTGGAACTCAAACATGATTTTGCGACAGTCCATTTATCATTTTTCTTATTGCTTTCTATCCCTAAATGAATGTCTGTCTTCTAAATACGGTTAAACATAAATCTTCTCTTGTGGATTATTTTCTCATTCCATTTTGTGTGTGTTAGTTTGTATGTGGTGGATGGGTCCAAAACCTGGCTCCCTGGAAACCTATATCCAATATATTCTAAACTGAAGGAAATAGGCCAGTACTTTCTGAGAGAAATCTGAAAGGAGTAGGTTAATTCTTATGGTTGGGTTAGGAATCGATGAATATTTTGAGAGAGAGATAGAATGATTCTTTTATAGATAACTTTTTGTTCTGTTTCATGTTTATAAGCTGGAGGTTAAGGGTTTTGTTCTAGATTTATGATTTACTTTCTGAGAGAAATCTGAAAGGAGTAGTCCTCTATCTAATCATGTTCTTTATAACAAATACAACTTTAGTATTGAAAGATTTATCATGAAAGATTTAGCCTTTTTCTTAAGTTTTTAAAATTTCAAAAATTTATATTTCAAGTTGGAATCAATCTGCATAGCTTATTCTACCAGAAGTATCCAGAACTACTCACAACAGGCGAAAAGTAAGTTGAAGTTATCTTAATTTTGCTCCTGCTTTCTCATAATGATTTCAATTTATTTCATGCTAAATTGAATTATGTTTCTAATTTCAAAACCAGGAGCGACCTGGAGCAGGTTAAGGTAATTTTCATATGTTGTCATTGTTAGATTTATCTAAATTACAAACGATCTCCTTCAACTAATACTTCATGCTCTAAATTTAATTTAAGGGAATTGGAGAAACGATATCCGCCCGGATACTTGCTGTTAAGCATAGGAGCTCATTAGAATCTGTAGGTGCTACCTTAACTTGGTTGATTTGGGGCTAAATGCAAGGAACAACTTATTTTCAAATGTTTTTGTATTACAGCATCCTACTTCCGTTTCTTTCTATTATATTATTGCGACCTAAATTTTTTCTAATCAAGGAATTCTATAGCCTTATATTTTCGAATTATTATATTTTCTTTTTTCTTATTAAGACAAATATACTTTGAAAAGTCTATCCAATTATAGTAGTTTAAATCTTCATTTTTTTATTTTTTTATTTTATTTTATTTTTTTTGTCTGGATGATTCGGTACATATTTCAAAGTATGGGATTTCATGCACTTGTAATAATATATCAAATATCAATCAATTTTATACTGTTTTATATTACTTGTGCACACTTGGATGATTTGGGGATGAAAGCCGACATTAAAGTTGGAAAGGTAGTACCATGTGCTCTACAATTTTAAAGTTGATCATTTTTAATCTAATTGAGAGATTTGTTTATATTTTTTTCAGTTAAACAAGATCATTTCAAAATCAATGGAAGAAATTTGTAAGGAGACAGCGGGCAAAGGTAATGCATCCTGGAAACAGTTATACTGACAGATAGTGATTAGATAGTGATTGAATGAAGTGCCATTAACGAGAGCTGCTTTAAACTCAAATGAGAAATAATAAATCGGAAAATCCGTACTTCGTCGATCATGGAAAATTAGGGTAATGTTCTTACACATGGTGCTGACTGTCAATGTTGTTGAATTAACTGATTAGCATTCTTTATTTTATAAATTTAAGCTCGATTCAGAAATGATAAATCGGACAAATCGTATCTAATCAATTCACATATTATTGTGTGCAAATCTTGCAATGGAATTGGAATCAGATACAGAACACAACCACAACATGATGATCGATCACAAGATTCCAACACATAACATGCAAATTGATCCATCAAGATATTGTTTTCCATGTTGCATTGTATGGACACCTCTTCCTGTTGTTTCATGGCTTCTTCCTTTTGTTAGTCATATTGGTATAGGCAGAGAAGATGGAGTCATTCTAGACTTTGCAGGACCTAACTTTGTGTGTGCAGATAACTTCACTTTTGGAGCTGTTACTCGTTACATTCAAATAAGTAAAGATAAGGTACGCTCACTTCTAATTTGATCAAAACTAAATGAGGGAAAATTTGTAAAACATCATTTATATAAGTAACTTAATGAGAAATAATACATAAAAAACACTCAGACATAACTTAATGATGTCTGGAGCACTTAAAAGTTGTATGCACAAAGTCTGTTTCTTCTTTGAACATCTAAATAACTTTAAATGACCATTTTACCCTTCGTCTAGAAGTTAAAGAAGTAAACATACATTGACTACAATTCTCCATTTTACCCTTCATCTTCTACAACATCTGAATAACAAAGCTTGCTTCTTTTTTGAATGTTATGACTAAATGACCATTTTACCCTTCATCTTCATTTTTGAATAACAAAGCTTGCATCTTTTTTGAAAGTTACTTTGCGCATTGATTCCTCATTACAACGTGTTTTGTCATGATGGTATGATTTTATCTTTTTTCAACCTTTGATATAACAATATATATTGGGATGTGTCTAAATACTTCAAGTTTTATAATGTGAAGGATTTGTAAGGACAAAATGGATAAAAGCTTTGGGGATTGTTCAATTCCACAAGAAATGTCGAATGCTGATATAACGAGGAGTTGGAGTTATCTGACGCAATTGGTGAGGAAGATGCTTCTAATATACAGTTGAATTCCAGTCAATCAGGACAAAAGCAGCTAATAGGTACTTGTTGACCTAGAAATCTTTTGTTGCAGATCCTCCATAACTCTCTTGTAAGCTTATAAAGACAAACATGTTTCTACATCGCAATTGTAAAAATCAGACTATTGATGAGGTTATTTGTTTTATTATTTATTAGATCTAACATGTAGTGTGTTTGCTAAAATGTGTGTTTTGGAAATGACTATTAGATCATGGTTTACCAATGTAATCCTTCATTCAAATGGGTGCATGGGATGTCGGGATGAATGTCTTATTAGGATGCTGAATATAGAATGTGTAAAGGGAACATGCCCCTGTTGAGATTTGTGTTCAAATCAACAGGTTATTTATAATTTAAATTTTGAGTCTAAATACAATTTCATTTTTTTTACATATTTTTGTAGGTGCTTGATATGCCTGCTTATGAGGCTTGACAAAAAGAATATGCTCGAAAGGGTCATAAGCATTTCTATTTCATGACATTGAATGGCAGTGAGGTTAGTATGCCCTTTAAATACACCTTTTGGATGAGATAAACAACATTTTATTTCAGATTTTAAACTATCATTATGCATAGTTTTTGTACTTATTCTTATTCAAATGTTGATAAACAACATTTATTTCAGGTTATTTTTGTCTCTAAGAAACTTGTAATTGGTGTGTGCTATGACTGCAATCCCATGGTTTTTGCAGCAGACAGAATAAGACCATACAAAGTAGGAAGGTAGATCCGATCACAATATACATGGAGGCTGATGAAGGAGACAATTACACACATATTCCAGTAAGAAATAGAGTTGGATAATTATTTGTTAGTTTTATAGGAATACCAATGTATTACTTTTGTTTAACATTCGAATGTTTATTTGTATGACATTTTGTGCAATTTATTTTATTTTTTGTGTATGAAAATTTATTTTATATTATGCAATGGATTGTATTTTTTGTATATGGTATTTTATTTTCTATTATGAGATATTAAATACAAATTTAATTTGAAAATTAGTAAATCTATGAATAATATTTTTTTTTTTAATATTTAAAATTATGATACGCAAAAATGTGTGTCATCCTCATTTATGACATGGCCTTTCTTGACAGGGGCTTTCTTGATACGCATTGCCTGTCATTAACACGCGCATCGTAAGGTTACGACACGCGAATGCATGTCGTCTTCCTTTATGACAGGGCCTTTCTTGATACGCATTGTGTGTTGTAAACGCGCGTCGTAAATGAGCATCGTAAATGCGCGTTGTCTCTCTTTATGACAGGGCCTTCCTTGACACGCATTTGCGCGTCGTCTGAGCCTTTTACGACGCGCAATCAGCATCGTAAAAGGCTGTTTTTCTTGTAGTGAATAGACTTAATTATTAATCTAGGAGAAAGTTTAGAAAAAGAGTTTAAAAATAATAAAAGTATAATAGAAAAAGTAGTTAAAAATACAACTATAAAAATCGAGTTTTTAACTAAATTAGTAGATAACCTAGGATATATTAAAGAACAGAAAAATCAAATTATTAAAAAATTAAGAGATATAAAACGATTAATTCCAAGCAAAGAAGAAATTCAGCAATTGAGCTATCAATTTGAGAATAATAAACCTCAAAGAATAGAAATAGAGACAAAACAACTTATAAATAAAATAGAAAATCAATTATTACAGTTTGAACCTAAAATAAATACGTTAGAAGAAATCTTACAGGTTGTCAAAAGTATAGTTGAGAGTTAAAAATGGAAAACTCTAAAGAATACAGTAAAACCTTAGAAGAAGTTAAAAAATATAAACCAGAAGATAATAAAGAAGATGTTACAGGATTTACTAGATATTCGGGCACAGGAAAAAGTTATAAAACATATCTTATATTATTTAATTTTATAATCGGTTTATTATTACAAATTATTGAAAAACTAAACACATTAATAGAAGTCAGAAATCCTCCCATCATACCCAGTATAGAAAGTGATTTAGACAAAATTATAAACGGAATTAAACAATTAAATATTAAAGACAGTAAAATAATAAGAAAACCAAAACCTTATAAACATTGGTTACCAAGAAAATAAATAATAATAGAAGTTTCTTAGGACGTAGCAGAACATTATAAGACGCTAGAAATTCAACTAGCAATATACAAGATATAATTACAGCAGACACATTTGTAAATAAAATAATTAGAAGGGGATCAGGAGCTAATAGTAATCAACAGATTGTACAATTTGAAGAAGAAATTGATTTAGATAGAAATATAAATTTATATAATCAACATCAGCTGAATATATTAAACCCCAGAATATTATATCAAACTGGAATGTTAAATGTTAGTACAGTATTAATACGAAGTAGTAGAGAAGAAAGTTTAAGGGTAGTAGATAATACAGTAACAATAGATCTATTTTCTCCAGAAACAATACAAAAGATAAAACAGTCAAAGAAACATTTCGTACATCTATTAGTTATTATAGGAATAAAAGCTTTAGGAAGAAAAAAATTTAGGAACAAAATATTGGCATTATTATTAGATAAATCATGGAAAACAGATTTAAAAAAGGCAATAATCTTAGGAATGGAGGTAGACTTGAGTCAAAACATTGTACTATTTTATTGTACACCTGGAATATTAAAAGATATAAAAGACTTACACAATATTAAAATAGCATTACAAACTAAAGGATATGAAAATTATGAAGGTAACAACATAGTAATAAGTATAGGAGTTTTAGGAAAAGCAAGTAATAGATCAGGAATGAAATATAAAGTTAATATAGAAGGTATAGTAAATACAATAGCATCAAAATCTATAAAAATGATAGATCCTATAAAAATAGATCCAAAAGATTTAACAAGATTAGAATGGTCCTTAAATTATTTAAAAGAACAAAAAAATGAAGTATTAATTCCAAAGAAAAGTTATATATATGAAGAAAGTGATGGTATACAAAGTCTAAGATTTATAAACTTTAAAAAAGAAACAGTAAAACAAAGTGACGAAGAGGAGAATTCAGAGTATAGCTTTATGAATATAGAATACGATACTAAACCAATATATTATACGGATAATGAAAAAGAAAGCGAACCGATAGAATTAGGATTTAGCGAATTTGAAAAAAAAAAAAAAACATATAGATTATGATTTAAGTATTATAGATTATATAGAAGAAGAAACATATATAAGCTTCAAAACAGAAGAAATTAATAAAACTATTGAACAAATTATTAGTAGAAAATTTACAGAATTAAATATACAAGATGAGGTGGATGATATGATTATAGAATGCATAACTGATTTAGGATTAACATACATAAAAAGTTATAATAAATTACAAGAATACTATAATTTACCATTAGTAGAAAATATATTACAAGGAAAAACTATGTTATCAGATTTTTATAAAAAATAACACGTCTTTATGAATAACGAAACATATATGACAAATATTAGAAAAAGATGTAAAATGGAATGGAGTGAACCAGGCACTAGTGCAGAAGATAGTATAGGACGAGAAATATGGTCACAACCAACAGTTACATATACCGGAGAATCTAGTTATAAAGGAAAAGGTAGCCGATTACCAATTGGAAATATATATAGTGGAAGGATGTTATTATTAGAAAAACAAAAACCACAACTTTGGATGGATGAAATTTTGTCATGGGAACAAATGGTTGTTAGAATGTGGGGAAACAAATAAAAAAGATAGAATGGACATGTTTGCTTACTTAGAAACAGCATTAGGCCCAATAGCTTTGGGTATTTGGCAAAGTAAAAAAGCACAAGATCCAGATGAAATTAATAAATTAAAAGCCTTAGGTGATAACCCATATAATTTTACTAGTCAAATAAGAACGTTAATTTTAGGGGTAGACCCTGCAAAAAATAATACATTAATACAAGATACAACTATTAGAAATCTTGAACAACTAAGTGTAGCAGATATGAAATATATTAATGAATTCACAATAGATTTTATTAGATTATTATCACAAACTGGGCAAGCAATGGATAATAAGTTATGTGATAAATATTTTATAAAACTTCCAAGAGACCTAGGAAGATATATACATGAAACATGGAAACAGCAATATGGAGAACAGAAAAACCTAGGACTAGGACCTAGGATCACATATACATTCGTTGTATTAGAAGATAAATGTAAAGAAGTAGCTTTACAAGAACAATTAAAGAAAAATGCTTATGCCTTTTGTAAATCAGGAATTTATACACCTCAAGCATATTGACATTATGAAAGAAAATAGAAACTACGAAAAAGCACATCATATAAAAAAGGAAATAAACCATACTATAAAAATAAATATGTAAAAAGGCCACAAACAAGAAATTGTAAATGTTTTATTTGTGGTGATATTAAACATTTAGCTAATAAATGCCCATACAAAAATAAAAATATAGAAAAAAGCAATTTAATAGAACAAATAAGAGAATATAATATAGAACCTCTAAATTCTGATAATTCTGATAATGAATCAATATACAGTATATATAGTGATAGTGATAATGACAAACATTTAACCAAAATAACATATACATACGTAAATACAGAACAAGAAGAATGTCAACATAATTGGATAAAAAAACGAAGAAATAACTATATAAAATGTTATAATTGTGGATATTACCCTAGTATAGAAAAAAGATCACAATGTAATATACATTTCACACAAATCTGTTATATATGCCTTAAAAAGCTATATAATTTAGAAATAAATAAATAAAAAACAGAAAAAGAAAATAAAGAAGTAAAAATCGGGTTACAATCAGAAAAGATAGAAAAATTAGAAATAATAGCTGAATTACATAAATTAAAAATACAAACTTTAGAAAATAAAGTAAGTATTTTAGAGGAGGTATTACATAAAAAGGAAAAGATCAATATTGAGGAAAACGAAATAAATGAAATAAACCAAATGTCTCAAATAACAAATGAACATATATTAATACAGACAGATGAATCACCCAACATGATAAACCTACAATGTAGATTATGGTTAGATAATAATAAATTTTTAGATTTAACAGGTTAATATTAATCTAGAATTTGTAAAATCTAATGATTTTATTCTCGGACTAAATTTTATCTTTGCCTTAAATGGCGCTATCACATTAACACGTAGTTTTATCACACTTAGTAAACATATATATATAGTTTTCCAACACTTAAATGTACCAATACATCAGAGTTTGCGCAAAAGCATGGTGGACAAGGTAAACTAGACTTTTTAAAACATCATCAACTTAAGACAAACATTGAAAAGGAAACAATTAAACTATTAACATAATTTTTAACACATGAGTTAGAAAAAGGAAAAGGTATAACCAAAAGTATGAATCATCCTATAATTTTACACTTAGAGAAAATTGGACTTATAGGAGAAGATATTACAAAATCAAAAATGAACTATATTTGTAAATTTAAA